GATCATGGGGCCCCTGTGTCCTTGCCCAAACTCAAAAAAGCCTATGAAAAAGGTACCAGGGGCATCTCATGGGGCCCCCTACTGACCCCGGGCCCTCGGGCAGTGCCCGAGTTTCCAAATGGTCAGTCCGCCCCTGGTAAGCACTAAAGTAATGAAAACATACCTTGTTATCTCAGTACAGAAGTACCATGTGATCTCTGGCCTTGGCATCCCTTTGCCAGCACATGTCACTATCTGTCCACCACCTGCTGGATGACTGTCAATCATTTCCTTTATTTCAACTGGCACTAGAAAAAAAGAAAAGAAAAGAAGGCAATGAAAAAAACCCAACATATAATAACAAAAGTATAACCATTAAAGGATAAGTTCACCTTTTAGACAAAAAAATAAATGCACATTTTTTTGCAGGTAAAAAAATGTGTATTTATTATTTTTGCCTACAGGAGTCTGGAAAGCATTGCACCAGCGATCAGTAGATCAGTAGATCGCTGATACTATGCAGGTTTCCTACAAACCTTTCAGGATATCTGCTTGCTGTACAGGATGTACAGTCAAGCATATATTCTGAAAGGAAGCTTCAATGAACTACCACGACGCTCCACTTGCAGTTCATTCATTCATGGAAGTCCGTGAATGAATGATTCTGCAGTGTGGGTGAAACCCCGCTGTTTTCAAATCTGACAAATAGCATGGGGAAACTTCTCCCCATACTGTCAGAGGGAGGAGGGTGGCAGGTGCGGAATATGTAACATGTTCCCAAAGGTGAACTTATCCTTTAATATTTACATTAGAGACATTTTGCTTAAACCATTATCTTAACATGTGGGCAGGGCATATTGCGTCCAAGTGCAGGACCCAGGGCGAGATCCCGCTAGTGCCCCCAAAGTTGGTGGAAGCCAAACTTCAACTAACACTTTAAAAGCAGTTATGGCAAACAGTTTTTTTTCCTTTTGGGTTTCCATTTGGGTTTGTCTCAGCCCTGTAACCGATACACCTGCAAGAGAGTTTATTCTTTTTAAAAACAACAGACTTACTGGCTGGATCACCAGTTGAAAATAAATGAAAGAAAGCCTAAAAAAGATAACAAATGCAGCCATGACATCTAAGAATTGGTAAGCTGCAATAGAATGTTTGCTTTTGGGCTTAATGCTACTTTAAGTGCATGCATGTTAAGCAATGTATAAGTGTATCTCCGGAAGGTATGTACTGCTTCTCACAGGGATCACAGTACACCCCCTGATAATACCTTGATCTACTTTTCTCTACAGAAGGACAACACCATCTTTGCTCTGACATCGTCTAGGATCAGCATCTACTCACTGGGCTGAAATGCAGGCTCATAAATGATGCAATAATGTAATGCCAGCCATACATGGGTCAAACTTTGCCCGATTTTTCATCTGAAAATCGGACCTAAGAATAATCGGCTGATTTTTGCTCTGTTAGTGGGTCAATGGCACTGACCGATTTTTGTGGTTCCTCCCCTTTTAAGTGATCAGGCATGTTGGAAAATTTGTGAAAAACAACGATTTTCGACTCAATGATGGTCAAATCGTACGATCGTTTTTCCGAAAAGACTATGCGCATGAGCCGTGACCTGGAAGGAACAGAAGTTGCACCTGTTATATGGGGTGAACTTTATGACTTGGTTGGCCGATTTTCGAAATCATTGATGGCACCATTGGATTACCAAGCAAATAACGTTTTCGATTTTCGGACGAAAAATCATTAGGAATTCGACCCATGTATGGCCTGCATAAGTCCAGGTGCCTGTGTACCTTGTGACTTGCTACAAAGCCACAATGTTGTGGCTTGATCACCAGCAGAGAGGAGACTGAAAAAATGCTTCCTTCTGCCTGCAGCAGACAGGTGACGTCATGAAAGCCAGTGCAAAATCACTTGTATGGCGCTACTGACTGCTTTTAAATGATACCGTAAAATGTAAATTTTTTTAAGAATATAGTTACTGTATATTGTGACATGTCAGGACATATACAGTATATGCAAACTCGATACTGATCCTGAAAGATTTAAACCTCTAGGGTAGGGTCAAGATTTTATTTACATATGATGACATAAGTAAAGATTACTCACCGTTTATCTGAAGATGAAATGTCATCTCTTCATAATCGTCCTCATTGTAAGCTTTCAGAGTGTAGGTGCCTCCATCTTGTTCTTTGACCCTCACAAGTGACAATGTAGTAACATACCTAAAGATATGATGTTGATTGCTTCAGAAAATATTGGCTTAAACGTTTCCCAGTTCTAGCATCTCAAAGTAGCATTAGCTTGTCCCTTACACTGCTAGTCTGTCTCAGTGAATGATAACTTCTCTGGGATATCTCCCACCCTATAAGGAAACACAATGGTAGCTTGTCCATATCCTATGCCAGACTTGACTAAAATTGGTAAAAGTCACTTGGTTTAGTTTACTAAAGGAGTAAATCTGAGAAACCTGAGAGTCATGCACTACTTGGGGTCCTATTCCAGTAGCTGCAGCAAACCTCCCAGTGTCTCCAACAGGATGGACTTAGCGCATGCAAAGTATGCCATATCCATCCAATAAATCCCTGCCTCCTTATCTTCTCATCATTGTGTTCGATCTTACACATCTGCCATTGTGTGAAGTGGTTGAGTGGCTTGGGTAGTGAGGGTGTGTGTAGGTAGGGGAGAGTGGCTGAATTGAGTCTCCGTTGTAAGTATGCCATATCCATCCAATAAATCCCTGCCTCCTTATTTTCTCATCATTGTGTTCAATCCTACACATCTGCCATTGTGTGAAATGGTTGAGTGGCTTGGGTAGTGAGGGTGTGTGTAGGTAGGGGAGAATGGCTGAATTGAGTCTCCGTTGTGTGGAAGCACATAACACGAGACTGTAGCAAGGATTGGAACAGATGCCAAAGGCTATTCACTGTGTTATTGACACGGCCTTTGCTGGCCAGGTAGGACTTTGATAATGTAGGAAAAAGGTGTCTATTGTAGTGATGAGTCCAATTGCCCTGAGTTCGGTTTGAGCAGGGTTTATTGAACTTCACAAAAGTTTGGTTGCCGAAACCGAACTCCATTAAAATCAATGGGAGATAAATCTATGTAATAAACCACTTGCTGACCACTATATATATATATATATATATATATACTGTACGTCCTGTCAGCAAGTGATTATAACAAGATCATGGCTGCGGCTGCTCAGTAAAAGTGATCTGGGCAGCTCTACAGCCAACTGATCGCTTTTACTGAAGTTAGAATGGTCCTAGGTTTGGCAGGCTCATCCCTAGTCTATTGGACTCAAAACACAAAAAAGCTGGATATGAATCTCTAACAGGAGAAAGAATTAATATGTGTGATGTGGCCTTATCACTTGGCCATAGAGGAAGGTGCAATTGTACATTGTTTCTGTCTCCTGTAAGAGATTTATATTCAAAAACTTTTGCATTGAGTCCAAAAGACACCTGTTTTGCTAATGTTTCAAAATTCTTTTTGGGAGCGATTTACGTTGTTTTTGTTTTGTAGTTTTGTATTTTTACAATTTGTATCAAGGGCCTTACATGGCTGCTTGCACAATGTAGGAGTTGTTTTCCCTTGTTTTTGTATACTTTAAAGCTCGTTTGGCTGTACTTCTCCTGTGATCACAGGACTGCGGTTCGTTCTGCACTCCTGTGACCCATTTTCAGCTGACAGCGGGCTAAAGCCCACTGTCGGCTGTCGTTGCTCAGCTAGTCCAAGCTGGGGTAAAATCCCGACTTTAAAGTCGGTATAAACTCAGATCCGCGCACCGGTAGCTGGCTCAGCCTCTCAGTGATCTTCTGAGAGGCAGTCTCTCTTTTTTGATTTTCATGTGGAGTTCCTAATTTGGGTTACCCCTGTCTTTTGGGGGTGGCTTGGCTTTATGGAGTGCTGAAAAAGACAAAGCCATTAGGAATAATTGATGATCCCTCTTTACAGGTTAAAGAATATGTAAACCCAACATTTCATATTGCTGATATGTTCCTGCTGCACCATGTACTTGTATCTTGTTTTCTTTGCATTGCTTCCTTTGTCTGAAATCCCTGGTGTTCCTGCCAGTTCCCCTGTTTTCCTATTTTAAAAAAAAACTGACCACACTAGGCATGAGAGCACAGCTTAATCAGTTCTCTATCTGTGCTGGGAACTCAGCCTGCTCCCCTCCAATGATCAGACTTGTCCTGACACGCCCCCATCCATAAAAGAAAAAAAATAAGAAATATTAAAAGCTCACGTGTTCTCAGCAGTTTTTTCAGTTGCTATGTTCACAAGGCTGTTATTATTTCCAGTCAACAGATGGTCACCTTTTAGCCACTCAATGGTGGGTCTGGGGTAAGATTCAATGGATACCACAATGGACGTGCTTTGATGTAGTGTAGCAGGTAATAAAGTGCCTTCCGTGTGCATCTTCACATATCCCTTTCCTAAAAGAGATTTAAAGATACTTAAAAGGTACAAGGATATATACAAAATACAGGATATACACCATATATATATATATATATATATATATATATGTGTGTATTTAAGTTTTGTTCTGTCCTAGGCAACACAAATATTGTCCGCCTTCCAACTACGCTACCCATGCCCCCCCCCCTCCCCTGCTGAGGGAGCCCGACACCGACTTGCCAAAAGATGCCCCCCCCATGGCCGAGAGAGCCATCCAGTAAAATTTGCCAAAAGCCAACCCCCCTCAGTCGGCTGAGAGAGCCCCCCATACTCCAATCATGGAGCACCACGTGGTTCACTTTTTTTTAAATGAACTTTAGTGAAATGTCACACAGTACTATTTAACCACCTGCTGACCGCAGATAGCCAAATGACAGCTACACTGTGGCCGGCCAGTTCTGGGAGGGCGTCATATGAAATCCTCCCAGAACGCGCTCTCCTGCACACCCCCGGGGGCGCGCACCCGGCGATCTCCGTGATCGCTGTGTCCTAAGACACAGCTGATCACGTGATGTGGTAAAAGGCCAATTACAGTGGCCTTTTACCACGTGATCAGCCGTGTCTAATGACACGCTGATCACCGGGAAATGCAATTGCCGATTCTCGACTGCACTTTCCTCACGCTGTCAAAGCGTGAGGAAAGTGCTTCCGAGAACCGGCAGTTGTCAGAGCAGGGATTGGCACCGATCATCAGGGCACTGAAGATCAGTGCCCTGATGATCGGTGCCCAGCAGTGCCACCCACCAGTTACGCCCACCTGTGCCCAGCAGTGCCACCTACCTGTGCCCAGCAGTGCGCCCACCTGTGCCTAGCAGTGCGCCCACCTGTGCCCAGCAGTGCACCCTCCTGTGCCCAGCAGTGCACCCACCTGTGCCACCCAGCAGTGCCACACACCTGTGCTCATAAGTGCCACCTACCTGTGCCCAGCAGTGCCACCCACCTGTGCCCACCCACATGTGCCCACCAGTGCCACCCACCTGTGCCCACCAGTGCCACCCACCAGTGCCTATCAGTGCAGCCCAGCAGTGCTGCCAGTCAGTGCCCAGCAGTTGTGCCAGTCAATGCCTAGCGGTGCCGCCAGTCAGTGCCCAGCAGTGATGCCAGTCAGTGCCACCTATCAGTGCTGTCTATCAGTGCCACCTATCAGTGCTGTCTATCAGTGCCACCTATCAATGCCGCCTATCCGTGACACCTCATTAGTGCTGCCTATCAGTGCCGCTTATCCGTGCCACCTCATTATTGCTGCCTATCAGTTCGCATCAGTGCTGCCTATCAGTGCCCATCAGTGCCACCTATTAGTGCCCATCAGTGCTGCCTCATCAACGCACATCAGTGAAGGAGAAAAATTACCTGTTTGAAAAATTTTATAATAGAAACAAAGAAACTTTTTTTTTTTTCTTCAAATTTTTTGCAATTTTTTTTTGTTTATAGCGCAAAAAGTAAAGTGCCCAGCGGTGATTAAATACCACCAAAAGAAAGCTCTATTTGTGAGAAAAAAAATATAAACATTTCATATGGGTACAATGTTGCATGACCACGCAATTCTAAATCAAAGTGCGGCAGCGCTGAAAGCTGAAAATTGGCCTGGTAAATAAGGGGGTATAAGTGCCCGGTAGGCAAGTGGTTAATTAAGTTCTATCGACCGCTGGGCTGAAAAAAAAGTACAGCGTGCCATACTTCAATTGCAGTGGTCTAAAATGGCCATGTAGGGGACAAGGTATTTTGCCTTGTCTTGCGGTGGGACTATGCTGTGATTAGACCCTAAATGAGGTTCAGGCTCCTAAGAAATTATATTGGTTCAGTTGGTGAAATATTTTGCAGTATTTCATATTTAAAGCTGAACTTCACTCTCTCAATAGACTATTTTTTTTTATCTTTATGCTGCTAGCAATAGTAAATCGATAGGGAAGTATATCATATTTACTTGTTTTAAACTTTTTTATTTACATTTCTTCAGTTACTTTCTGGTTTCCATACCTAGGCATCATCCCAGGAGCCTTCAGGAGGGGAAGAGGGAAGGAGAGGTTTACTCAGCTAAGCACGCCTACATGCCTGAGCTAAGGGCACAATGATTCCAGGAAATAAATGCTAGATGAATAATCTGCCCTTACCCAAGATGACCACGGCGATAAATGTTTTTGGGGTGTTTTTCAAAGTGATTTCTCAGCAAAATAAAGCATGGAGACATGGATGGATGGGGGAGTTTGCTTTGAATCTTAAAAATGAATTAAACAGCATTTTTGGTGTGTGGTGCTCAGATGCAGTGCTGTTCCACTTTAACATGACTATAAATAAGGAAATACATAGCACAGTGGCTAAATGGTTAGCACTTCTGCTTGGCAGCACTAGGGTTGTTGGTTTGAATCCCAACCACGGCACCACCTGCCTGGAGTTTGTGTGTTCTCCATGTGCGGGTTTCCTCCACACACTCCACAGACATGCTGGTAGGTTAATTGGCTCCTGTCTAACCCTAGGTCCACACCTTAGCATTTTCCTCTGCGTTTTGCAGAAACACACTACAGTTCATTTAACAAGATTTCCTATGGGACCCGTTCACATCTCCGCTTTTTCACCCAGAGGGGGTGGGGGGGGGGGGTCTAAAGGGTCAGGGACTTTACATGAAAAAAGTTGAGTTTTTATTTCTTTAGACTTCAATGGAAATGCTGCAGAAAAGCATGTAATGTTTTTGCCACGTTTTTGATGTGTTTTGGTGCGTTTTTGGGGGGTCTAAAGGGTCAGGGACTTTACATGAAAAAAGTTGAATTTTTATTTCTTTAGACTTCAATGGAAATGCTGCAGAAAAGCATGTAATGTTTTTGCCACATTTTTGATGTGTTTTGGTGCGTTTTGCATTTTAAATCTGCCTAGCAACAAGAAAAAAAACAAAATGCATAAAAAACGCATGTGCAAAAACACAAAAAGCAACGCAAAACACACTGCAGAAACAGATGAAACGCAAACTGCTTAGATGTGAACCTAGCCTAAATTGGCAATAGTATGTGTATGAATGAATGTGAGTTAGGAACCTTAGATTGTACGCCCCTTGAGGGTTGGGGACTGATGTAAATGTACAATATATACATATATATATATATATATATATATATATATATTTATTATTATACAGGATTTATATAGCACCAACAGTTTGCTCAGCGCTTTACAATATAAAGGGAGACAATACAGCAACAATACAGTTCAATACAAGAGAGATAGGAGGGCCCTGCTCCTTGGAGCTTACAATCTAGGAGGGAGGGGCTAGTGGTACAATAGGTAGAACTGCGGGGGATGGACTGGTAGGAGGAGTAGAAGATTCCATTATTAGCAGAGGGCGGGATAGGCTTCCCTGAAGAGATAGGTTTTCAGAGATCGCCTAAAAGTGAGCAGAATAGGCGATATATATGTAAAGCGCTGTGTAAATTGACTGCGCTATATAGGTACTTGTAATAAAATAATTTAAAGTAAATAAATGCAATCATACTAAACATTTCCTTTTAACACATTTGTTTTCATACCAATAACAGTAATGTTGACATCTTTCATTTCAAAGTCCCCGGAATACGCTTCTTCCACTGTACATGTATAGGTTCCTGAGTCCTCCTCAGTGGCGTCTAGTATTTGCAAGACAGAACTTACAGAATTACCAGTTGGGAGGTGTTCAACAATAGCGGGCCTTCCTGCCTATTATGGAAAAAAAAACACAGTACAATCATGTGTGCTATGGTGATTATTTTTTTTTATCTTTCTAGGTTCCTCCTTTTCCCCCCCATTAACTTGCTATTGATATTTTCAAATGGAATCGTTGTGTTATCATTGCATACAGTACCTTACTGTCAGACCAAGCGATGTTTTCTCTGGATCTTTGTGATTCTCTATGAAATGCAGGCAGATCATAGCTAGTGGGAGGGGCCGGAAAAGTGCTATACTTTATGAAAACATCACAGCACCCTGCCTCAGTACTCCTCCCAAGAGCCCTCATCCCTGATTAGTAGTGTACCTAGCCTATTGGACATAAAATGATGTTGTTAAAAACATTGTAAGGGCAAAATTTCAACTGCAGCACCATTTACTAAGCATCATGATCTGCCGCATGTAATGTAAAAAGCCATTCATAGCATGTAGTGATCTGCACAGGATACGTATGGTGCAGTGGTCCAGAGTATGTAACAAATACCATATTGTATAGCGTGTAGCATTTTGTAGGCCAATTAAATCCTTTCTAGGGGTCAAGAGATTGCACGTAGACCAACCTCATTTACATGTAACACCTTCCTAGGCAGGCTGCTAGGTAAATTAAGGCCCCATGTACGCAGGACACTTTTGAACGATGAAAACTGACTGCTGGAAAATGTAGGTTAAAAACTGTTTAGCCGCGTTTGCATAACGCGTTCATGTGCGTTTGGAAACGTTTTTTAAAGACAAGCATAGGAGAACCTCCCAAATGCCCAGAATGCACAGAAAAGTGGTAAATTATTAACTATTTCAGACTGTTTCAGAGAAATACAGAGAGTAGAAGCAGAGACAGCTGTATGTGTTGAGATTATTTAGGTGTCAGTTGCTCATTATCATTTCTTTTGTTTCCAAGGCTGGGATAGGTGTCTGGTGGAGGGAGTCATTAAGGTCACCTGGCAGGGGGTTTTCATGAGGAATTTGACATGTGAATGCTCATTAACATATCTTTTGTTTCCAAGGGTGGGAGAGGTCTGAGGTGTGAATTGTTCATTACAATGTGTGACAAGCTTGGTAGGAACATCCTGTGTTCAGTGTTTTGTCCATCTGAGTACCTTTAAAATGCTTTGCATGCATTTTTATGATGAAAAAAGGCTCTGGACAGCATCGGGAACTGGAAGAGTTAAAAAAAAATTTCACACACAAACGCTTATCAACGTGATTTGCAGCGATTAGCCGCGTTTACAAGCGTTTTGCGTTTGAAACGCTGATAAAATCGACTGTTGAAAGCAAGTTTTCTGCATTCAAAAAAACGACTGTCAACTCAAATGCCTATAAACGACTGTAAATGAAGATGTGTACATGGACACATAGGAAAACATTAGGGGGAGTTCAGGGGCTGCTGAAAAAAAACACTGAACAGCTCCTAAACGTGAGTTTATCAGCTGCAGTGTACATGAACCCTTAGTGTTTGGCTTGCTTTGTGAGAGGCTGAAGTCGTTTGGTCTAGTCTGTTCTGTCTCCACAGTCTTGGGATTTGATTAATTTTCCCTGGCTCTGTTGAAGAACTTTCCAGAGCACAGGGTGGGAAATTCAAATCCTCAGGGTGGGAAATTCAAATCCTCAGGCTGGGCTTTTGCCTTACCCCAGCCAATCCCTGGGGAGGTGCACCCAGATGGTGGATGTGAGGCAGGTAAATAGCCCAGGAAGTTCTCTTCTTCCCCTGGTGGAGGGGAAGGGTGACTGCGTGCTTTAGGGGCTTCTAAACCCTGAAGTCTACTTTGACTGGCTGTTGGACCACTCATCTTCCCTTGGAAAAGACCATGGTCTGATATCTACTGGGATTCATGAGTAGAGCTTGCAGCTGCAGTTTTATCTGTGGTCACCAACTGTGGATATATTACAATGCTCCAGTATGCTTAGTGTACTCTCCTTATTCTGTGGTCTTAGACTTTTCCAGTCTACTGCATAGTCCTAATATTCCAGGATGGTCTACAGCTCTGAGTGAAACAATGTGCTGCTTCAACTAGTGGAGAAGAGCCTCTCCTAACTTTGTCCTAATATTCTCTTGTTCAGCAACTGGAAGTAAAAATAAACTGTGCTAATATCCTCTAGTGACAGTGTCCTCGTCAAAATAGTGCTTGACGTTTTGGAGTACTACATACCCCATTGTCCTCCCCAGTTAAACATTTTCACCAATAGATCAGAAAAAAGACATCCTCTAGATCACAGGTGTCAAACTGGCGGCCCTCCAGCTGTTGCCAAACTACAAGTCCCATGAGGCATTGGAGGATTGACAGTTACAAGCATGACTCCTAAAGGTAGAGGCATGATGAGACTTGTAGCTTCGCAACAACTGGAGGGCCACCAGTTTGACACCCCTGCTCTAGACTGTTCATTGCACCAGAATAAGTGAACTGCTACCGTGTGCCTGGCTGCCTCAGCACTGTTTGGGAAAGACTCCGTGGGAGTAGCGCTC